TGACAGATGAATTAAAACTCCCTGCTGCTCGACTATCATTTCATACACCAGTTCCTTTGCAATTCTGGGCTGGACACTGCCAGCTGCCCAGTGGGGGCACACATCAAGCTTTTGGGCAAAGACAAAACATAAAGACACGTGAAAGCCCCATGTGCCATCATTACCATCAACCTCCAGGTTCACTTTTTTCATCTTTATAGAAAATAGGCAAAAATTTATTTGTTTTTTTGGATTATATGTGGATTAACTTTAATTCCTATCTGTCTGTGAAGCAGACTTATTTTTTGTTGTTCTTATATGGCTGACAAACTTTTAGCTGTTTGTTTTCATTTGCTTTATAAGGCTTGACTTTCAGCAACTCTTATTTTAGCTCTTAGATACAGCTTTCTCTGCTGACAAGAACTTTTCTCTATTTGTCAAAACCTAATTCTAAAAAAAAAAACCAACCCAAACTTATCTTTTTTAGATGATTATTCCCACACCCTTTTCTGAAAGTTTTTTTTCCCTTATTCAAACTAGAAGTCAAAGTAGCATTTGCAGTTTTGACTCGCAAACTTCCAAGCTCACACATTAAGCTATCTGAACTTCCTGCTCCGCTTGACTTCACAAATACTTCCCACAGTTTCCAAGTGTGCCACTGTAAAGCTAAGCATCTCACAGACCTACTCTACTTACCTTTCTACAGAATTTAATCATTTCCTGAAAATCAGTTTAAGGCAGACCCCACTGACAGAGCATCACCTCCTATTGGATCAGTCATATTTGATGAAGGAATCAGCTGACAATAGTATCTACTTCCTTGGTTCAATTCTTGTCAGTTGCCAAGAACATTCACCCATCCAGGTAGCCTTAAATCACCCCCTCACTTGTCTCTTTGCTGTTTACACGGTTTAATTTTCTTCCTGCCTTATTGTCTTACACCATTCATTCTTTCCTCTTTCCATCACTGTAAGGCCCATTCTGCTAGCCCCCCATCCACTTACGTCTCTACCTGCTGCTGTTTCCTTTCTCTTTCAACTAACTGTTTACTTTTCAGTTTACTGTTTACAATAAATCACTGACTGGAGTTCACCTTTTCCAATGCCATTCATACTCTGTCAGCGTACTGCTCCTGGCAATGGAAATTCAGGTGTTTAGCAGCTGGTCCACTTTTACAGCCACTGCTTTACTGTTCTTATCTGCTTCTGGCTACAGTATGATTCAGCTTGTCTCTGTTTCATTTCATGGGTACCTGGCTGTCAGTTAAAGATCAAAAAATCCCACAGAACTCTAAATGTTTCACCTGTCTTTTCTGCTTTGGTGCCTTTTCTTCATGGACAATAGCACCATCCTGTTTGACACACAGGGTGCCAGCCTCCCTACAGGCTGTCTTTACATCCTCAGAGGTAAGCTGAATCTAATTTTTTAGGTTCTTTCTGTGTCATAGTTTTAAAATACAACCTTCTCTTTCTAGCCACATCATTAAAATTCCTTGCTGTACTCTCAAACCTTCTATTCCAGTTACCAATATGCCTTTTTCTGTAGCCTGACGTAATGCCATTCAAAATGATGCTGAATGTCCACTCAAAAGCCTGCTGCAGAAAGCATTCTCCTCATCCCCTCTTTTGAGCTTGCCATCCGTCTATACAAATCTCTACTTCTCCATCCTTCTTTCTCACAAAGTGAGGCCATGTATCTCAGTTTCCATGGCCTTCATGGCTTGTTCCCAATCTCCACATCACCTCTCTCAAGGTCCTGGAGACCTCTCAAGGTCTATCCTGGAGACACCAAAACCTTCTTCATTTTCAAAAAATGCCTTCATGCTTTCTCTTGTTGAACGTGTCGTGTTTGGGCAGTATTCTCTCTCAACATCTCCAGAAGTTACATTTGACTTTTGAAGTTTTGTTAAGACTCTCCATTGCCTTGATGTCTACAAATAACTTGAGAAAAATCAGACTGTTGCAAAACTGATACAACTGCCTCGGATACCAATCATCAGCTGAGACAACGTATGTGTGCAGACAAGCCTCATCTGATATTTAGTCTGTAAGTTCTTTTTAGTCAGAATAGTGCTTTTGTGCAGCATCTATCACAATACTGAGCTACTACTAGGGCTTTTAATATTTCATAATACTCTAGTGCCTGAAGTCTTAAGCTTCACTAAATATTTAGTGACAAAAACAGTAGCTATTATCGGCATCCTTCAATGTCTAATATTAAATTTAAAGCTAAGAGGTTTGGCGTTTATACAAAAGCTTCACACTTTTGAAAATTATGGAACTGCTGATGACTGCATAAGTCACAGCCTGATTGTCTTTTTCTTTTATTAATTGTAGAAGTTTGAAACATGGAAAAGACATTTCTGTATTTAAACAGGCAAGTGTTTATGGTGCTTAAGCTGTAATCTTATGATTGGTTTTTAAACAGATCATTCTCTCATAACAGGGCCAACCATTCGAGAACCCTGGATGGGTTCTTAGGATAGAGAATTTTAAGAAAGGTTTATTAGATTTCTTGAAACATAAAAGATCTACGTTCATTCACATACCGGTACCTGTACAAGAACGTATTTAAGCAAGCTTCTCAGTAATTAAAGGAATTGGTAACAAATCCCAACACACTCAGAATAAATAAGACTTTTTATATTCCTTTCAACACAGAGACTATGAAATTTTCAGTTGGATCTGCATTTCTCTCAGACACATCAAATAATTTACCACTAACTGTTTTCAGCTGAAAAGCCTCCAAATCACTTTACGAATGCAGCACCACTAAGAACTAACCACTCTAGAACCACTCAATCAAACCCCCGCTCTGATACCACGCAACATTTAATAGCCACATGCAACATCGAGGTTTGAAAAGACTTGGGCTTTTCAAGTCACAAGGAACTTGACCTGCACCAATAAACCATGAGAAGCTCAGTGCCGCAGAGAAGGTCAAACTGCTAAGTAGACCTTTACAGGACACAAACTGACATTGAAAAAGTAACTTTTTAAAAAGTAAATCCATGCATGCATGTAATAAGTAACAGAGTTACTATATTCGGTACAAGGAAGGCTCAACACTTGCTGATGTACAAATAGGTTGTTCCCATACTCGTCAGTTGACCTTGAGTCTTCAACCTAAGCCTGACTTACAGCACCATCAAAAAAATTAAGATCAACACTGATAAATCCAACAGCTTATTAATTTAGTGCTATGAATTTCAAAGCACAGAAAAAAAAAATCATAAAACCCTATAAGCTTCAGATAAAAAAAAAGAAAAAATCACCTGATGACAATTAGAAAAGAGACAATTATGCTTTTCAAGGCAAAACTGCTGGGGGTAGGGATGGCTATTCACAAATAAGGTTCTGGGTTAGAGGCTAGTTATTGACTTTGGGACCACAGTAAAGCCATTAATAAAACAAGATCACAAAAAGAGCTTAAAATATTTTATGTTCTGAAGAGTTTAAGGGAAAAAAACAGCCCATATGTTTAAAAATATTTTTAAATAATATGCATGAGATTTTTTGCTTGTGAAAGATACCAGCCTGGAAGCTGAAGTCACAATTTACGCCCAGAACAGGTGCGGACTTCTGACACACTGCCTCCTTCCCCACAAACAGGGCTCGATTCTGACCTGAAAAAAAACCTAACACTAGCCACAGAAAGCCAAAAGTCACCTCCGTGACCTTGCAGTCCCTTGTCCTCCTATTAAGATCGACACCATCAGCTGTGGTGATGATCTCAGGAACACATATGCACTCTTCCTTTGAGAATATGACAAAAACCTGGCAAACTCCTTCTACACACAAGGAACAACACAGCTGAAACAGTATAAAATTCTACTTTTCTAAAGTATGTTTATGGGACACAGACAGGTTCAAAATCAACCCCACCTCTTACACAAAACCACCAGCTGTGAAATTTACAGGAGCTCAAAAATACTTTCTAATATTTTTCCTGGTAAAAACAGGAGGCAGAGATGGGAAGTCTACCACTCAAAGGAAGCAGATTTGAAATTATCTGTTCTGATTAAAACTCTATGCACTTCTTGAAAATACGGGAAGGGAGATTCTAAGCACTATCTGTAGGACAGAATTGGCTTATCTTTCTTGACTGTGGTTTCAGCACTGCTGTATTGCTTTATGTCATGGAACTTCACAAGAAAATTATCTGATATATATCTCAGGGCAGTTTTAAAAGTCTTTAAAATACCAACCTGGATACTACATCAAACCAAGTTCTTACATTATTGCCTTTGATCCCAAAGAAAATATATAAACATAACAAAATAATATGAAAATTATAGCCACCTCCTGAAGATCTGGCTCAAACTGCCACAGCTGCACTGATTCCAATGAAGTGAGGACATTTTGTATCAGCTGGGGGCTTGGCCTGACAAAGGTGAAGGCACTCAGCAGCATGCCAAATTGAGTGCGTGTGCATTTAAGCTCCTTTTACTTACCACTAAAGCCTTCGTGCTTTGAAATACACCTTTGAAAAACAGTACAGAGCTGTAATTCTTGCAGAAATGCAGACAACTAATTTCTCATCTGGCTGAGAAAGCAATACAAAAATGAGACCCAAACCTATATTCACTTAAGTTTTGAGGAAGTTTCTGCTAACTTTTGAGAGAGCTTCATTAGTCAAAACACCCTATTTGTTTGGGAGACCTGAGCTAGGTTCCTAACAGCAGAAATGAGCCGTAGCCCTGTCTGAAATAACTGTTAAATGTTCAGCTTCTCAGGCCATAAGCTAAGATCCTTGTTCCCGCACTACGTATCATCTGATCCATGGCCACAACTGGTCAAATCTTTTTTACACATCAAGAAAAGAGGAAGAGTCAACACAAGGAGAGAGTTATTTCAGATGACCCAGACAGACAACCCCAGTGTTTCGTTTTTTTTAAATAGTGAGAGCAGTCAGTGCTAAAAGTTAATATCATAACGATTCATGTGGAATTCAGCTCCCTGGAGCAGGCTCCAAAGTCCATGAGCAGCCTTCCAAAATGCCACCGCGCCAGCTTTACTTACCCCTAGCCATCTTGCTCCTTTGTTGGCAACCTGCTGAATCTGCACTCTTTTCAGGGTGACATGGTAAACAGCTCCCTCTTCTACTTCTTCACCCCAGTCCTGAATTGTGCTCTGCCAGGAAAAGGGGAAAGAAAAAAAAGTAAGAGAGAAAGGAACATTTTCCCTCTTCTGCTAACCACAATCTATACCAGGTGCTCTCCTGCTTCATGCGGAGCTGAGGGCAGAAGATGGGCTGCACAAAGTAAATACAACAATCAAAGCAATACGGGATACTTTTAGATTGAGGGAACACTGGAGATATTCTTGGCAAGCTGTCCTTTCCTGTGGTATCAGGATACCCTGACTTTCCATTTAACTATTTTTCCTAGACTAGCACATATTTTAAATAGTTGTATAAAGTCTTTTCTAAGGAAATAGTTTGGTTTTGATTAGCAGTCTTCTCTTCCCTCTCCCTCCCTCTCTCCCCTTTTCTAAAGCAATTAATCTCTTTGGCCTTTCATTTACGGAAGGAATTGCACTTTTTAAAACTGTTGAATTACTTAGGCAGACAGCCTTTAAACTTCGAAGCTAACAAGCATTTAAAATACAGCAACCCTTTATTTCTTTTGACAGGAGGGATCTAAAGCACTTGTGGTTTGCTTTTCCAAAACCTATTATTTCAAGCTACAAAAAACTTTACAGAGTCGAGGCTTTAAAACGCACAAATAATAGAAAGCGGATGAAAAAAAAAAAAAACACCAAAAAAAAGTGCAACGTCTTCCAAACTTTAACTGAACATGTGCTGCAATGACTCCTCATTTCCTAGATTATTAACCGTACAAAAGAGCGCAAGCCGCCGCAACGCGGACAGAAAACATGCATCTGAATTTCTCCAGAGGGTAACTAACTTCCCTCTCTGGAGCACTCTCTTCATCCCCTCCGTGTCAGGCACACACACACAGTTACTCGTGAAGATAAGCATCACTCGGAAGCGAGGAAGAGCAGAAAGGCTCCGGGAAGCAGCGGGCGGCGCGCCCGGCCACCGGCACCCTGCGGGCAGGGGAAGGGGGGGACGGGACGCCCGGTTACCATTTTAGCTTTCCACAGCAATTTCATTCTCTATGCCTTCTCGGGCGCCTCGACGGGGCACGCCGCCGCTCCGCCCTGTCAGCGG